CTTGGAAAGTCTTTTAAGTCTAATTTTGAGACATTTCTTCTTGTAACAGGCCAGATTGGTTGAAGTGAGTTCTATAGAAAGATTACATACACTTATTATCTTATCTGTTGTATAAAGCTTTTGGAATTACCGTATTTTTTGGACTATAAGACACTTAAAATCTTTTAATTTTCTCAAACATCGTCATCATTAAAAAAAAACAACAACAACAAAAAAAACTGTAGTATGCTTTTTTATGACTGTTTATTGTTGTTGCTGTTGTCCATTGTTGTCATCTTTCTTTGTTGAAATCAGGTCTCTCTTGTAAATGAGTCCTCGAGGCTCAATGGGATTTACCTGTATAAATAAAGGTTGATTGATTGATTGAATGAGCCTTATAATCAGGGGCACCTTATGTATTAACTCTGGTTGTACTTACTGACTTCAAACCAATTTTATGTGGTTATTTTAAATGAGTTGAGTAAAGTTGGACTTATCTGACTGTTTTGTTTCACTTAATGCACCTAATAATCAAGTGCGCCTTATAGTCCAAAAAATATGGCACCTGTGTTCAAAGATGTAAAAGCTAACAACTACCGGTAGTTTGAACCGAGCCAGAAATCCCAATGGTTGGCTGCCATCTTCAAACAACTTCATTCTCAAAAATATTGTTGCATTTTATAGAAGTTTATTGCTATTTTAGAAACCTTAAATTTGCTCAATACGCAACTGTTTACAGGGAATCCTGGTTGTTTGGAGGTGAAAATTGGGACAACAGTTACCTGTAGCATTTCTGGTGCACTTCCTGCAGGATTATAATACTTTTGCCACAATATTGTAAAATTAAAGACAGTGTAAACAATTAATAAGAGCATTTGTATGAACCACTTTTTTGGGACAGGAGTTGTTTTAAGATGGCAACAACTCACTTTGGTCTTGACCTAAAAACAACTTGGAAAGCATTAAACTCTTATTTCTCCAAACTGAGTTTATTCAAAAAAGTTAGCTAAAATGTCTTAGTGCTCATATCCTTTCTACAAAGCCTCACTTTAAAAAATATCTGAACTCTCCCTTCATCGTGGCCTAAATACAGTCAAAATGCTCCAATGAGTCTTAAAGCATGCCTCACAGTGTGTTTTCTCTTTTTCTAGCTAGAACTTCAATGCCTGTCTTAAGAGTTCAGAACTAAGTTATTGCAGAGATGCAAGTGTAACAAATACTCCTTAAAAAACCATTAGCATTGTTTCTCAGAGGTAGTGGAAACAATGGTGGTGATGAATGGTTTGTGCTTTGCTAACAAACGTCTGGAATCTGCAGCACTGGGCTCTTCATTTCCAGAAACAAGCAAAGGTTAGGAGTGTATAATCTCTTCAGGACTGAAGTTGAATTCCCTTGATGTCCACGGCTAATTTTGCGCCATGTTACAAAAGTTAGAGCTTCGTTTCATGGTGCACACACAAAAACACACACAAAAAAAAATCATTAAGTCCTGATTTTCAGATAGAGCTTCTACGTTTATTAAGTCTTCTGTAGGTGTTAATGCTGTGCAGGCCGGTGGACACGGAGCTGATGCCCGAGTGGTGCTGCAAGCTGCACATGCAGCCGTTAGAGTGAAGAGGGTTAGAAAAAGCCTCCCCCTGCTCCATGTAGGTGTCTGAGGAGGAGAGGTCCCGTGGGATGATCATGGGTATGGAGTACTGCAGTTTTTCTCTGCTCTTATACCACAGACACGAGCACATAGACTGGAAGTGGAGCACCTCGGCATAAACGTTACGCAGGCCGCGACTCGCCGCTCCCCCGCTGCTCCCTCCAACTGCGCTCCCTCCTCCACAGCCTGGCGGCGTGAAGGACGGGGAGGCCGGGTCTACAGAGCAGTTGATGTGCCCGCCTGCTTGTCCGTTGTGGGCAAGGAGAGCCCTCTGCTCAGCGTCCCTCTTCTCGTCCTCAGCGTTCATCGTCATGAATCGCAGTACTGCTAAGTTGAGGAAGGCTCCGATCACAGCCAGGCCCGTCAGAATGTAAATAAAACTAAAGGCTACATACTCTGGCTTGGTTTGCAGGGCCTGATCTTTCTGCAGAGCCACGTAGTCCCCAAAGCCGATAGTGGTGAGCGTGATGAAGCAGTAGTAGTACGCATGATAGAAGTTCCATTTTTCAAAGTGGGAGAAGGCCAGTGCCCCCACACACAGTGTGCTCATGCAGGATATAAAACCAATGGAGACCATGTTGGCCATGGAAACTTCAGTGTGCCTCATTCCAAGGCACTTCTTCAGGCGGTGGAGCAGAAACCTTACAAAGGTGTTGATGCGCTCACCCACACTTTGAAACATGACTAAAGTAAGCGGGATGCCCAGAAGGGCGTAAAGCATGCAGAAGACCTTCCCTCCATCTGTGCTGGGGGCTGCATGGCCATATCCTGGAGAAAAATGGGAAAGAAGGACATTGTTAGTGGGCAGAACACATTAAACTGACCCTACAAATGACAACGTTCTGAATTCAGACAACTGGAGGCTGGAGAGGCTGGCAAACCAGAACTTGAAAGATACAAATGATTGGTATTCTCTGAGTGGCCCTTCGGAGAGACACTCTTCATTTCACAGTGGCAGAATGCAATTGGAGATGAGAATGCTCGGCAGCACGGAGGCAGGAAGAGGCAAGCATTGATGTCGTGTATGGATGAGAGATTTTGAATAATTCATTGACATTCATCGGTCTCTGCAGAGTGGCTTCAGCTAATGAGTGCATTTGCACCTAATTAGGCCTCAACATTTTTAAGATCAAATAAACAGGACACCAAGGGGTAAGATGCAAATTCCCATCTGTATTCATTCAGTGAAGGAAAAAAAAAACCTTTTGTCTTGCAGTACTTTGAATTTAGAAATTATGACAACCCACGGCGAGTGTGCTTCAAGACTTTTAAACAGTGACATAACTCAGATAAGGGGGAAAATATGAGGATAAAAATCAAAAACTCTGTAAATGTTACTTTTAGCTCTGATTAGTCCAAGGATGTCCATCCATCCATCCATCCATCCATCCATCCATCCATCCATCCATCCATCCATCCATCCATCCATCCATCCATCCATCATCTTTACTCACTTTTTTTCATGTCACAGGGGTCACTGGTGCCCATGCAGCGGTCACTGTGGGGGAAGCGGGGGACACCCTTGACAGGTCTCCAGTCCATCACAGGGACACATAGAGACAAACGAGACAACCATTCACTCTCTCATTCACACCTAAGGCCAGCGCTCTAAAAAAAATACATTTCTTAAACTTTTCCACATTTTGTAAAGTTACAATCACAATTTTCAAAGTATTTTTCTGACATTCCATGTGATAGATCAACACAAAGTAGTGCATAATTATGAAGTAAAAAAGGTAATCGTTCACAGTTTTAAACATGTTTCACAAATTCATTCATTCAACCTTTATTTATACAGGTTAATCCCACTGAGCCTCGGGGACTCGTTTACAAGAGAGACCTGATTTTAACAGAGTGATGACAACAGTGAACAACAAAGACAATAATAGACAATCATAAAAGATGCGTACAAATTTATTTATTTATTTTGTAACAAGTGAAAATAAAATGGTAATTAAAAAGGAAAAGTAGCAACAACAACAGAAAAAAAACCCAGCTAGATTGTAAGGCGGTGTAGAAAAACTGGAACATGGCTGCATTGGTTTTTCCCAGGAACTTAACAGATGTTTAAAGCCACTTAGAGAGGTCAAGGTTGAGAGTTTCAGATCTTTTTGCAAGATAAATAAACAAGATAATGAATAAAATTATAAATAAAAAAATAAAAATGTGTGGTGTGTATTTGTATTTACCACTTTACCTCCAACAGAGGGCTGGGGCAGCTCAGCCTTTACTGCAACTAACTCGTGTGCCTTTACTCCAGCAAGCACAGCTAATTTGAAATGGATGAGTTCTCAGTCAGTCTGCGGCTCAGGTTTGTGAATATCGATTTGTTCTTTTCTTATGAATATATATTAAAAATAAAAATTTCAAAACAATTTTCAACATTGCCTTTATTTGAGACGATTCAATTTGAAACACATTGTTTTTTTTTACATTGCAATTCATTTATTCCTCTCTCTTCTGTTTATTGTGAAGAAAATGGTATTTTCTTCACAATAAATATTTTACACACTGAGGTACAGAGAGAGGAGGTAGAATGAAATAAATTAACTCCTAACAACAAACTTTTTTTTTTTTAATATTTCAAAGACAAAGGCTGTTTTTGTGTTGCTTTAAAACGGTTGTCTTGCAAGTTCACACAAAAGGTTTTACAGTTCAGGAGAGCACAGAGATGAAGCTGCCGGCCTGTCACGAGTTGTTTGCAGCAGGAAGCGGCGTATCAAGACGTGGGGATGACCGGACTGACAGAGAGGCTCGTCAGCAGCAGACGCTGGAGCTGGAGGTGGCAAGACAAGCAGTCCTCGCATGGTGAGGGAGTAAAAAGTTCCTGCATGACAAACTCATCCTAACAGAGACTCAGCCACATGTTACAAAAGAAACAGGATATCTTCATGACTCGTCTTGGCTCACTGGAGAAGCCACGAGTGCCACTTTGCTTCAAATGAATCCCCAACACTGGGAGTAAAAAGTTGTAGCCTCAAGAAGAAACACTCCAAATAAAGAAATGGTTCAGATCTTCTGAAGCAAGATTTTGTGGGGAAGTTAAGAAGAATAATTGTCTTACCTGTTGTAGATGGAGCTGTAATCAAATCAATTTGGAATAACAAACTTGAATTCTGACCAGAGATATGAGCTAACAGCTTGAGCAAACAGGATGAAGAGCAAAGTGGACAGCTATGGTCTTCAAACAAGTTCAGTCTCAAAACTGTCATGATGGTAAATGTGAAAAGTACTTTATACAAGCTTGACATTGTTGTCTATTTAACAGTAAACCACTATTTTGGCAGAAATATTATATACTCAAAGTGTTACAGTAAGGATTTTTCTTGCTCTTTCTCTATGGGTACTTTTTCCTATGGGTATTTCTATTTCCTACGGGTATATCTATATGTATTTTCTATGGGTATTTCTTTATGTATTTTCTATGGGTGTTTCTATATGTATTTTCTATGGGTATTTCTATATGTATTTTCTATGG